AAGAATTGGAAACGATGGTTCGCAGCAAGTCGAAATGCTCCCTAGAATCTGAAACGCAGCTCAAACCCATTCAACAAGTGCCTGTACAAAATGTAAATAAAGAAGAGTAATTGGCATGCTGTTCATTCTGTATGTAAATATCGCATTTGTTACATTTCGTTAGTTTTTACTGTTTTATTTCTTTTTGTGATATGGCATTGTTTTCGAGGCATTTTTTGTGAAAGGTTGTTTTCTGTCAGAGGTTCATCGCCGACTTTCACCGCTGTAGCAAGAAGCGCTTTTGTATGACAGAGAAATTTTGTGAACCATCGTCTGCTTTGAACAGGAAACAATTCTTTGCCTGTGTTTTTTACCTTTCCGTATTTCTTGTTGACTTGAGTGACATCGATCAATTGATTTTTCCGTTGAAAGACGCTTTGCTAGTTGCTAGTGTTCAGCTTTTGACGAGTGTATGCACTGTTCAGCAAATGTTTATTCGTTTCATATTAGTCTCTAGTTCTACATTTTTGGTAAATTGACGCTAGTTTTTAAAACGGACGAGTAAATTTTAAAACAGGATTTTTTCTGTTGCTACGCCGTTTGCTGATTGGTACCATTTTCCCTCAGCTTTTTCGATGGCATCGGTGATTGCCTGCCTAAAATGTAATTATTAAAAAATTATAACTTAGTGATAACGACTAACTTTAATTTCTCGGTTGCAATTGGAGGGAAGGCGCAGACTACGCCGGCTATGATCGGCTACAAATTGTGTCAAGATATTGTTAAAAAACTGCTTATTTGCTTGATCAGGTAGATTACAATTACAGCAAGTTTGATTCTGAGGAGAAACCGGGTGAAGTGGCAAGTAGTAAATGAGATATGGAATCGTCGTGAACAACGTTGGCCTCAGAGATTTGGCTTAAATAATCTGAATTTGCTTAATTGATTGAAATCAATTCAGGGAGCTGACTCCCGGTCACGTTGTTGTAGTATTAAACTCAGTGATAATGAAGAGGACTAAACTTAGCCGAAAAACGCTTCAAGCGATTAATTTCACAACGACCACAGAATCTGGCAATCTTCAACTATTGCCTCAAAAGTAGGTTCGGCAGTTTTGCTGCACTATTTATGGAAATCTCTGAGATGTTAACAGAAGTATTATACCGTACGGATGACAAATTTCGAATAAGTGAAAAGCACAAACGGAAGGTACAAATTTGAGATCACGATATACAGATGAAACTACAGTTAACAGGATCATGGAAAAACCGTTCATTATGTAATCTGCAATATTTCTTAGATGCGTCACCGCCAGAAACATGGTAATAACTGTACTCATATTCTTTGATAACTACGGAGCGATGGTGTTTTGGTATTTGGCTGACTCGATTTAGATTCGGTAATTTTTTAACAACAGCAGTTTTACATAGTACCTGCTGTAAGCGTGTGGAAGTGTTTGTGAGGCAGTAGCAATCTCAAGAAAGTGGGTTTCGAGATTCACAACTATAAAATATCCTTGTTAGCAGAGATCAGATTCACCTGTAAAAACTTAATTTTTTCTTGGATTTCTATGAAGTAAATGTCCCAGCTGTAAAAATATTTTTCTAAGGTATGGGCGATTAAGTCAGTGTCCAGCATGGCTATTCCGGAAGGCTTTCCTCTGCTAATGCTTATTCACCTACATTTTAATGTTTCAGTATGACAGAAGCCCTGCTCTATCCAGTTGTGAAACCTGTAGCATCAACTTGAAGAATAATGACGAAAGCTGCTAGCAGACTCTGACATTCTAAGCTTTTAAGGGATGAGCTTTTGCACTGCGAATCCTTGGGGTACTTTCATTATTCCTATTTTCAAATTATTATCAGTGCACGAACCTACCGTAATCCATTAAGTACTACTGAGAGGGCCAGACTGTTTCTGACCATAAAACTCTAGGGACTGAATCAGATAACGCTTCGCCATTACATGTCGCACATATTGGTTACACCTCGATAATAGCCAAACGTTACCTAAACACTTTTTGTTCAAAGAGGTAGGCGCCGATGTGGCCTTTAGGAACATATCGGACCTGAGCTTCAGGCCAGATATCTTTCGGGTTTGTAGCAGCACCAAGGGGGACGTATGCATCACACAGCGCAGCAACGACTACGATCAGACTGGTGTCAGCCGGTTTTGGAAAGTTTTGCAGATGCGTGAACTCATCCATAATCCTGCACATGAATCTGCGGACGTCGTCCTTCGCGTTAACCTGCAATTTCAGTTTTTGGATACGTTACAGTAACGCAAACCCTGCCACATGTCCCTATCCTCATCTTACCGAGAGAAGGACTTTCTTACCCTCGACTGGAACCATTGACGACATAGTTTTTTCGGAAGCCGCAAGCAGCTGCAATCACAAAAATTTTATAGCAAGATTACAAAGTGATTATCATCATGCCTGGTCACTGCTAGCATGTTCCAACATCGACACCAAACCAGATTCTACGAATTCCTTAGAAATGTACTGGTTACGTAGGAAATCCCAACACACCGCGTTGGACAGCACGCCCTAAATTTGTCAATAAAACGTCAATATTTTGATGTAAAACAAAAACGGTTGAAATAAAAATGCGAAATAACATATCAAGTTGATAAACCAGTGCCAACGTTTAGATCTCTCGTTCGCGGACCTCAGGGAACAAATAGTCAGTGACTGCTAATTGATGGTCAAAAAGGTTTTCAGTCAGCGTTTTGTTTGTTGAGATCATCATTTTGAGCCGTTTGCATAAGCAGAGCGTCTCTGGTTTGTGGCGCCCGCTGCATCAGCAGCTTTTCAGCACTTCTGCTACAAAGCACTGGTTACAGCTTCGCACAAGGAAATATTTCCTCTCCGAAATGACATCTGTTTCTACCTTATTCCTAAATGCTACATGTTGCCTTCCTGGTCGACGACGTATGCTTTTTTTTGGCTACCCACGGGCCGAAGTAAATGGTTTATGTTCAATCAGTTTGTTTAACAAGGCCTTTTCTTAATTTTCACATCCAACAGGCCAACTGTGCCATTCCTTGCATTTCGCTCACGCTTAGCCATCATTATTCATCGAAGCCAACGCTGATGCACAGAATTCAATCGCCGTTCTTCTAAATCGTTAGAGCCACAGCCTCTAAGCTCTACAACAACACCGACCTGACAGAGGCAAAACGCAAACGGAGTTTCATGGGTAAAAGAACTCGCCTCAGCCCAAATATCAGACAAGTTTCCAAACGGACTCGAGGCTAGAGCGATCAGTCTGTTCAACTCTAGCTGGAGAGGGTCATGGCTGGAAATGATGGAGCTGAGATACTTAATCTGGTCAATCTCCTAAACGGCTTTATCTGGCTATTCGACCTCGTCGATCAGCTATGACAGATGGGTTGCTCATAACGTTTGCTTTCCGGGTGTTAAGGAAGAGGCCCGCTATTTTAACTGTGTTGCTTACGGAAGCCGTCAGGTGATGGAGTCCGCTGCTCCTACTATTCTACTACTCCCCAGTACAATATCATCTGCGTACGCCAGATCAACATGTCTAGCGGCATATTTTGAATGCACCTTCCCTCTAGAATGTGACCTTCGCCACATGTAGGGTCAGAACCGTTATGGAGAAAAAATAGAGAAAGTTTTTGAATAACAAGGGCGAAGGCACATCTCCACGGTGAACTCCACAGTTAATGGGGAACCATTCAGATATCTCTCCTTCAATTTTAAAATCACACATGGTTCGCGCATAAATCTCTTCCAAAATATCAACGATGTGATCAGGTATTTTAAAGCATTTCGAGATTTTCAAATCGTCGGACGAAACAGTGAATCCATCGCTCTCTTAATCGAAGAAATGAGCAAACAAATGCATTACTCATTGATTCCACGCAGAGTAAAAATTTCGACAGTGTAGAAACCTGATCTGGAAAACTTGATTTTGATGAAGTCTCCCAGCAACTCCTGTCTCAGCCTTTCCAGTAAATACAGGAGAAAATTTTCTCGGGAATTCACAGTAGTGTGATACCACAATAACCAAAACACTACCGCACTAAATATAGCAACAACTCCACACTTCCATTCTCCTGGAAATCATTTGCATTATTATTATCATTATTTTTTCTTTCGTTTACAACGCACTATTGCAACGGTCGGCGACGACCAGCTGCAACAAAGCGGAGGCAACTGGATGCAGCCCCCAGCACGCTATCTTAGACTTGAGACGAACAAAAGGACAAGTTCTCGCCACAGAGGACAGAAACGTCGGCTGAAAAAAAAGAGTGCTCGCCTCCCCACGTCTTAAGGCAAAGGCAGGCACACCGTAACCCGGGAGCACAGC